AGTTAAAAACAACTAACTAGAACTCCACAGTTGTCCGTAGTGGCGCTAGCTGTGCTACAGTTTTGGATTTTATACAGTCTCTTATGGAACATAATTGCAGTGCGACATACAACTTCAAGTTATCATTCACGGTACATTTTAAGCGAAATTATATATCCACCAGTAAAAAATGGCGTGCCCTCATTAATGGAATGTATCGTGTCTCAATTGTGATTTCTTTCATAGAAGGCCGTCTAATTGTGATTCCCAGTTCTTCTCTTTCAGAATAATTTGATTGTGAAAATTTGAATGGAAATCTGTGGCTCATTTTCAAATTGAATCGGAATTGAAGGGACTCTTTTGAATCAAACTTAAGTAATACTATTAAAGTTGAATTTCATTTTCGACTTACTTTCGTTGAAAGTATTTCATTTTCGACACAAAGCAAAATATAGAGTTAATAAAGGAATTAAAGTGCTTTATAATAATTAGTTGAATGCTCTTTGATTAGATTCACATGATTGGAAAACTTTTAAAAACATTCCCGTATCCAATTAGTGAGCCAAATGCAAAAATCTAAACCATTCTATTATTGCATTTGTCTATGCCATAAAATGTCGGTACATCAGTTGCACCCATCCAAAAGCATTTTCGGCAACCATGTTAGATGACGACCTTTCTCATTTGTGGTTTTAATTAAACCGTTTCTCATTCGAATTCATAGGCCTATTTAAATTGATTTGAAAACTGAATGCAAAAATGGTTATAATAAAAGAGTAGAGCTTTTTGTCAACCACTTGACGTCATCCGGTCATATGGCACAGAAGAAAATAATATGACATTACGGATATGTTGTTGTAATAGTAACCTCAATATATTTTCGTGCATCAAACGCATACCATAGCGCATCCACATTTTCTAATACGTACAAGTGTGTAGAAAAAAAATATGCTGGTGATGGTGTTCATATATAATTAAAAAGTTTGTAATTAAAGCGGATCCATTCATTGTGTTCACATTTCTGCCGGGTCTGCTGTCGACGCTTTCAATGCACTCACACATGTACATGCGTTGCGATAAAAGCACTTGTATTATGATAATCATCGCCGGCCCGCGTTACATGAAAATGGGCCTCCTTTTAAATTGACGAGTGCCTTTCTATTGTGTAATCTCATGAAAAGTGAACCGCCATACAAAGCGAAATTCCGGTCTTTTGAATGTTGTGCTCTTGTTCTTTTCTGTCATACATTCGATAAAAAACTGTGTCACACTCACTGAAATTCTGTTTAATGCATAAAAATGATTATTTTAAGCACATTTACTGTCGTGTACCTTTATTATTGCTTCAACTACCATCATATAGATACGACCAGGAAAATTACGCTCAAACCGAAAAGCGACGGTGAATACATGGGAACAAAAACGTATACCATAAAATGTTAGAGAGCGTAATTTTACTTTTGCAAAATACGGAAAAAAGAGTACATTTGTGTGCGCATCAAGTGACAACCAAGAGATAACGTCAATGAGTATAAACGACTCGACATGTGCAACAAGAGAAAAACAAAGACGTTGATTGAGTTGCTACCGTACATCATCTAAGATTATGGTTGTGTTGCCATTAAGTCAAGTTCGCTTGAATGCACAAGTGCCATGTCTCTTTCACTTTCTCAGTACGTTTGTCTCTTTTACTCTTTCTCACACATTTACGTGTGTTAGGCACTTCTGATCAAATCATATTTACGATAAACACATTTAAAATCGTTCTAGCTGAAGCGAATTGCTCGTTATGCGTGTTGTTACTTTACAAAATATTGTACACTTCCTACCACATCCATTTACCTCTCTTGCTCGTCAAATATTAAACACTAAAACCGATTTCATGGTTGTCTTCATTTTTTTCGTGAGGTATCCATCTTTCAAGAAGTACACGCAATTTACAGTTAGAAAAATATAAAAAAAAAATCAACTCTAAATTTATATTTCCCTTGATATTGCTGCACAATTTGTGTAGTCGATATTTAAATAAAGGTTGACTTGTTTGTATGCATAAGTCAAGTGCCAACGCATGCACTGGCTCACAGATTTTCTCGTACAGTCGGAGAGTCATCCATTCTCGTTTCTCACTTTTTCTGATAAAAACATTGCATACATAACATATTTGAAGAACATAACGACAGACCGTGTAATATAATAAAATGTTCTTTGAATAAAATCGACATCATTCTAAAATGGCATAACTGTTTATGTCATGAATGTCTTAACAGTGCGAAAAAAAAAAACAGAACGCGATTCATCTCTTTTTTCTCATTCAATCTGTGAGCTATGATGATTTATATGGTAAAACTTGAATCGTAGCTACCATTTTGTAGTGTTTTTTTATGTGTACATGGTCATGTTTACTTATGCAGATATAGGCACACTTATTCAAAACACTTTCCGGTGATCTGTGTCGATGTGGCAAGCAAATACCGCATGAATTTACATGTTGACAAACGGGCATACATTACCATCTGTCAAGTATGAATAATATTTAAATATAGATAGCATTGACAATACAATAACACCGCCATGCTTACAAGCTAATTCTCTGAGACTTATGGAAAATTCAACATTGTTCACCACAATTTTGAATAATATGTCAGTTGTGGGCACCCACATGTTGAACGTCAATTTACTGAAACAATGCAATTTAATTCAGCATCAAATGATCGACCAAACGGAAACACGAAATCTCCCTTTTTGCCTACACACAAACCCCTTTCCATTCGATTTCCTTCCGAAAACAATGTAAAACATTTTGTTTGTACACCATTTTGATGATTTCTTATTATGGATCGATAACAAAAGCACCAGACAGACAAAACTCATTTCGCTCGGTCGCTTATTTAATTTGCACATTTGGTTGTGCGCAAAATTAAAAATTAAATGTATACAATAAATATGTGGGTTGTATGCCCTCTCTCGTTAAAGTTTGCCCTTGTTCTATTTCATAATTTGGCATTGTTGTTCTTTTTTGAGCGGGCGCACGGTTTTACACACACACACACACACACACACACACACACACAAAATAATTGTGAACTTGGACCACCAAATGAACATTTGTGACATTCCAACACCATAAATATTCACTTAATTTGAAACTAGCAATGTTATAGTTTACATTTTCACATTTTGATAGTTGAAATGTTGTAAACCAAAAACGCAAATGTTTTCTAACGTTCAACGCGCACACATACACAAACAAACAAACAAAGTGTAATGAACAGAACAAACGCACGTTTTAGAATGTTTAGAAAGGGGCACGTAATATTAGCGCTATGAAATTCGCATAAATTTTAAGCTCGTGTTTCGGATCGTTCGGATCATTAACATTTTTATTGTATAATTATTTTAATAGAAGAGAACATTTAAAGTTATGGGCGTTGTGCAAAAAGGATGTCATTATTATCACGTGCAACATGTCGCAAGAAAATAAATGAATGCCTGCACTACCGTATGCTCTTAAAAGTTTAAATAGAGAGTATATCGAATAGGTAAGTGCATGGATGATGGGGTCATACACTCAATGTAAAATACATGTATGTGTAATACGAACGTAACGTATAAAATTTCATGCACGGGACGATGCGCCGCAGCTCGGAAAGAATAACTCAACGCTTTATACCATTTCTCCACTCGTATCTAATTAACATTCAAAGCTTCAGCCCAATGAAAGCTGTTCACAAATGTAGAATAAATGCGAGTGGATCAGGTCATATAAAAATGGTACAAAAACTGTTATAATTTCATAGTCATTCTTTGTGTGCGTGGTTTTCTAAATAAACTATTACACACGTAAAAATAATTTATTTATTTCGATTATGAAAGATGAGACAGACCTCCATATAATACAATGACAAATTTTCTGTGTAAGTAAAAACCTGTACGAAATTTATATTCCGTTGTTGCTGATGGCAGCAACATTGTCTGATTTCATGTTTTTGTCCCTTGTGCACACTCGTAATCAACATGTATGACACATTTCCAACATAAAATGATTAATTCTATATAATCTCATTCGGCACAGATGAGTGTGCTCGTTTTTGATTGCCGCACACGTACACAATGCGAATACGAGACATATTCATTATTATCCTTTTTTTCGCTTCTTTATTTGAAAAAAAAGAAGGAATTTTATCATTTCTTTGTTGTTCAGTGTAAATTTTTTCTATGTCACCACTCTTATTTATCTGCTCACGTTCAAATCATAAATAACCTTAAACCAAATTTGTTTGCATTGTTGTCATAATTAGTACTGTCAAATGCTTAATTTGACCTTTTTATTTTAACGATCATTGGCGTTCATTTTGTTTATTGGCATTTATTTCAAGTACAAGCACACACACACTCTGGCATGGATACTTTTTTGTTTACCTCTTGCTAATATTGTTATGGAGGTTGTTTCTGGTGTGAATAAACCATTGCAAGTATATATTAGTGTTTGCAGCTCCGACCGAGCTCTGATGCCGACCGACCGCCGATCCGATCCATATGTACTACATATTTGTGAGTCAGAATTTTTTTCCTTTCGTTAAAGTGGGATATGTGCTTTTACCATTTTTGGCCAATTGTGCTGGAAAAGATTGTTCCCAAGCGTGAAAATCGACCATAGCAAAATTTTTGTCGAATTGGGTTACTTCCTACCACCTCTGCATAGTCCCCGATTTAAAATACATTGAAAATGTACTTAGTGTCTCATCGATTGAAACGTGTAAATTTGTTGATAACATAGAAATCTACCGCCAGAAAAGAATTTCGCTAATTTTTCTCGCTTTATGCCCATTTACAAATTATGTGGTGTACATTTTACTTCCCATTTTTTTTATCTAATCTGATTTGCAATTCACGGTTGCCACGTAAATGTTTTTTTTGGCAAATCGAACGAAATGCATTCATTTAACACAATGGATTCAAATGATAAACATTTATATTCATGAATTTTCGTTTTTGTCTCTTCTTTTTTTTTTCTTTTACAGAGGATAGTTCGTTCCTGTTGGCAAATGCTCAAATTGTTGATTACCCTATCGTCTATTGCAATGAGGCATTTTGCAAGATCAGTGGTTTCAGTCGTGCCGAAGTTATGCAAAAATCATGCAGGTAAGATGCAAACTTGGCTCATTTTTTTCCACTTTCAGCAAATGAAGACAAAAACTAAAACGCGATAGAACCAAATACTGAAGTGTCGTTTGAAATGCATTTCAATTAAAATGCAAAACTTTTTGGGCACAAACAATAGACTACATACAAGCAAGCAATGGAATTCCTTCAATTAACCTTAATGTGAATTGCATGCTAATTTTGATGCGCTTTGGCTTAGTTTTTTTTTTTTTTTTTTTTTTTTTTTCAAAATGGAGATGTAACCGGAATCGAGTGCATACTTACAGCTTTATTAAAGTATTTGATAACAGTAGAGACTCAAAGAAAGAGAGAAGTTTATGTCATGGTTGTTGGTTGCACGTTTCAATTCTCCAAACGGATAAAGTTTCAAGAAGAAATCGTCATCCTTATCATATAAGTTTTTTTTCTTTCGTTGAATGTTACCAGTTTGCAATTCCCTTGTAGAGTTGCGTGGCGCACATCCAATGTAATGCCATCATCATCGTCATCACACGGTAATGAAAACTAATTTCCTGAATCGCGCACACACACACACGAACATTTTACGTGAAACTTTTCCGATATTCGTAATCACAATAATAATTTACATAGTAAAACTGTGAAAATATTTGTGTTGTATTTCGTTAAAATGGGAAGAGTTTTCAATGGAGTTTTGCATATTATCGAATTTATAAGAAGATCCACGACCGTTATTTTCGCTTTATGCTTCATTTTTAATCAGATTTTGGGATTTTTTCCGCATGAGCATGAGGTATAAACAAAAATCCGAGTGAAAATCTTTGTGAAAAATTCTGCATCGACCACAAAAACCGTGAACATTTCGCGCTGCTGAACTTAAAGCAACTGCTCAATCATTTTGGTTTTAACGTGAATATTGCAAAAATTTTCCACGTCCATGGCAGTAGACGCCAACAGCTCATCTGACACTCAGCGGTGTCAGCCGTAAGGTAAATCCAAATAAGCTTGTGTTCGATAATAACAAATACGCCACATACCCCAAAGGGTGAAAGTATACAAAAAAAATCGTTGTTATATTTTTCTCTTCTATATTTTTTGTTGCTTACTTTGGGCAATGAAACGAGTACAATGGCAAAAAAAGAATAAAAAAAACTCCCCAGCTCAAGGATATGCGTTTCCGTTGTGGACCAAATCTTATGGCCACATTTTTTCATGCAGTATTAAGCTATAAACCATTTATTCTATGGGTTCACACAGCAATAAGTATCCAGAAAAGAAAATAGGCGAACAAGTACGAACGTGGCAAAGCGCAAACACATACACCCACACATAAATGCCATAAAGAGTGGAAAAAATAAACTGCTAGCCTTTTCATATGCTTGCCCAAACCATCAAAAGTATTTTCACTGTCGTGTTTTAGTTTCGTTTCATTGTCTTCCATCGATAAAACAAATGAGAGAATAAAATGGTGAACAGCAGAAAATAATAAAAAAAGAAAACAAACCAAAATAAGTCGAACGAACATTGTTTTGGGGTTATTTTTGTTTCATAATGTCGACGATGTATAAAAAAAGACATGAAAACATCAACGACCCAGAAACAAGTGACGAAAAACAGTTCCGCCTTTCTTTGCAAACCATTCATACAAAGCATCGTCATAGCATTTTTTTTTTTCGTTTTCACTGCATCCCTTATTCGTTGTGAAAAATGATATCATCATCATTGTGAATTTCATAATGCCGTACAGCATTCATATTGTGATAAGCTCTAATTGAATTGGAGTCTCTCATGATTGAGTGCTACATCTCGCACTTGAAATTTCAAAAGCATTCCTGTCTTTGAAAAAAATTGCCAGTAGCCTCCCACCCGTTTCAATGAATTGCAACAAATGATGCATTTCCAATATCTATTCTTCCACTTCCAGATAGTGTAGATAAAACAATCGAAACTAGTAAAGCAAAAAATATGCGCTATTGTTTCTTAACGATCGAACCATCTGTTGATCAAATACACTCCATTCAATTCAATTGTTCAACACTATTTACAGTTACAGCTTAAGTGAAACGTTAACCTTTGGCAACTATTGTTCGAGCAATTAAGAAGCCTTTGACTGAACAAACTTAAGCGATTTCATCGAGAATTCTATTTCGACAACAAAACCAGCAGATTTGTAGATGCTAAGAAATAGATAGATTTATATCTCTGGGCGCTTGTATATTTCGATTAAACTTTAAAGTTCATTGTCTGCACTTACTTTCTCATCGTTGCATTTTTTGAGTTAATCGTTCTATATACGATTCAGCATTTCAATGGGAGTTGCGAGACTATCCAATAAAAATGCAGCGCTCAACTGTTGAGTGTTTAATTAATTTTTATGATTACTCATGATCAAAATGAGTTACCAAATATTTTTCCAGTAAAATTGCGTTGTATACTCCATTAAATAATGATTACTGATTAAAAATTCCAACAACAGTTTTTTGTCCACGCGAGCGAAAAAAGACACGTGCATGGAATGTTGCTGGTGCAAGTAATATTGATTTTTCAATATATATGTTTATCAAGCGTTTCTCTTCCTCCCGTCCTCGAACGCACAGCTATTTTGTTTAAATTCAATTTTATAAATGACGATGAGCAAATGCAAATGGAAATGAAAATGCTCATTTAAAATTCATAACACAAAAGTGGAAAAAAGAGAAATGGTCGATTGGCTTTTACAAATATGCAAATTGTAAAATAAATACATCTATTCTGTTCATTGAAAATCAATTTCCCGATCATGAAATATACTGGCAAAATATACATGCGCACTGTTTTTTGGTTCGATTGCAATAAAATATAATCAAGGTCGTGAGAATAGGATATTTCGTATCATTCGCAGAGAAGTAATTGGGAAGAGGAGCGGCCGGGAAGAGAAGCAACAAAAAAAAATTCAAACGAACTGAACAAATGGGATTGGAATTTGCGGTTTATATTCATCACACATCATTTTCGACTTTGGATTCTTTGTTCTACCTCGACCATCTCATTCCCTGTTCTCGAAATAATTTTTATTTGAATGTGCATTTCATGTGCTTTTGTCAGCCATTTATGCATCTAAGGTCGATTTTCTCTTACTCCGTATGCTGTATTGATGATCACTTCGACTAGAATGCTGGCATTAACGTTAAACCAGTGTTTCTACTATTCTCGCATCGATTTTGGAATAAAGAACAAAATACCGAAATGTTGAACATGCTTAGTGACACTCGACCATAGAAAAGGATCAAATCGATAAAATGTTACACTTTGTATCCACAATAAATTCCAATCCGAAATAATCTTCGTTGTGTAGCAACACTGAATAATGTTGCGAGGAAAAAAAAGCGCACCGGATTCAAAGAAAAAAATGTCGCAAATATTCTGTCATTTTTACACGATGAAAACCGCCCACCACACGACACAAAGAGAAAATGACATCAACGAGGAAGTTAAGACAAACAAACATGACAGTCGTGTATGCTCTTTAATACACACGTTTTGTCTTTTGCCCCACAATGTCAAGATGATACGAAATCAGAAAAAAAACTGTGACACTCATAAAGAATAGTGAAATAGAATGTGGTAATTTTCTGCAAAAGATGACTATTTTCAGTGTTCTACATCTAAATTGATGTTCAATGGCATTTTTACCGCATTTTTTTTGTCCTGTTGTCTGTGTTTCCCATTCTCTTTTCCTATAACGCTTAAGCTTTGTTCGGATTATATTTCCGTTTAAAGTATATGTGTGTGTGTTTTATTCATTATCTCTGGATGTTAGACAATATTAAATGAATACTAAAGATAGAAGAACAAAGACGCTAGTCAAGCACGTACTATATATCCATTGCAAGAATAATGATGAAGAGTGAGCGTTAGAGCGCTCGCACTCACTGTGAAAGGGACAACGAATGAAAAATCAGACAATATATTGAACTAACTGGTCAGTTGAGCTGACAGTACGTTAGCCAGCTAAATGGACCAAAACAATAGAAGTTATTGTTATAATGAACAATCACTTCTATTAAAACAAGAAAAGTGATTCATCATTAAAACAATAACGTCTATTGTTTTAGCCCATTTAGCTGGCTAACGTACTGTCAGCTCAACTGACCAGTTAATTCAATATATTGTCTGTGAAAAATCGCCGAAAAAAGCTATGAACATAGTGTCACAAAAAGAAAAAAATAGCAAAAAATGCGTCGTTTTAATGCTGTATTTGCTCGTCTTTTTTGTGTTTTGTAGCTTTTTGTTTGCTCAATGTTGTTCATTCTTGGCATTTCTGTATTTGCGCCATTCCAGCCAGATTCAAGCTAGGTTTTTTGAGCCATGCTTCGTTTTTGCTTTTATTGTCGTGTGCATCGACACTACTTATTATGTCAACAATTTGCGCTTATCATCAGTGAGCATGCATAACAACACCACTTGAGACAAACAAAAAATAAAGAACAGCATGAACGGATATACGCACAACATCGTGCTCATTCAACAGAGAAAAATAAAACCAAACTGAATTTACTCCCAAGCTTCTTTTTATTTTGGTGTTGCATTATATATATCTTTGAAGCGTTGCTGTTGGTGGATGGTTTGAGTTTTTTTTTCGTTTTCGGATGTATGCAAAAGTGATGCTATCGCTTTATATTTTCACAATGTTCGTTTTCTTATTTTTCATGGCATAAAATAAGTAAAACACCCGCGGAGCTGAGAATATATTGTGAAACTTTGCTATTTTTAAAGTCTTGATTTCACTTGAATTTGTCATCCATAAGTTTTGTGCAAAAAATGTTCGTAATGAATTTATACCAAATAACACCAATATTTCCGAGAAATTTGTCGCGTATTCATTGGAATTTGATGGGCCTAGTATTTTTTTTTTCATCTTCTTTCTTTATATGAGTATTCAATCATAAGTTTTATTTGGTGCTTCCGAGTCGTTTTTCGATCCGTCTATCGTTTCTCCCATAGCAATCGTCAATTTGATTAATGGATCGTTTCATCTTTGTATTTCCTTTTTGTCGAGAATCCAACACGCGTTTCAGAGAGCAGCGCCATACTACGGCGGAAATTCCATTGCACGAAGATTTCATTTTTCTCTGTGAAAAACGATGTGAAAAATGAGACACAATTGAAGTGCACAATGCCCGCACGCGCACATACAAACACACAAAACACAAATCAATCCACATCACGCAAAATGGAATGTGAAAATGCATGTAACGAAGGCAATCTCATATAACCACCGTATACCATTCCAATATAATGAGACGAATCAAAAGAATGTGATTGAATCAAAGATGCTACAGAAGGAAGCAAAAAAAAATATACAGTTGGTCGTCATTCTTTAGTTTCTGTTCAAGTACATGGCGATTACATTTAATGGCGAATGCGTGCTTTGCGAAAAGTTCCAACAAGAAATTGCCAACTGGTAATCTCATAACAAGTATTATGTCTCTCTCTTCTTCTCTCGTTTGGACTGTCCCTCTTTATGTAGCCATTGCCAATGTCTTCTACACTTGGCTCAATTTCTATGAAAAATAAAGCTTACTATGTATTATTACCAACGAAATTGGATTCTTCTTGCTGTTAGTTTGATTTTCGGTTGAAAATTCACTTGTTTGGTTAGTATTCATAGTGATACAATGAATGAATACATTGGAATGCTGGACACGAATTTTTCCTCAAGGCGAAATGAATTGTGCACAACCAGCAGCATCCCGTGCAGTAAAAAGGAAGAAGAAATTCGAAGAGCTTGTGTGTATAACAACTCTTTCTACTCGCTTTTTAATGGAATTTCTTTGGGATTTGAAAATAAACCGAAATTGAATCGGACTTAAGATGCGATGCTCATCGCTCGGCCGAAGTGAATGGCACGTGCAAGACATTCTTCATTCGCATATTGCTTTGAATCGTTGAAAATAATTACTTTGTTCATATTGAAACCTGTTTTGTGATGAAGAAAAACCAGCTTTTTCTTCGTGATGAAAAGACAAAAATTGATTTACTACATTTTAGATTTACAAAAAACAGAGACTTTCTCATTATATTTTACACAGTGAAAAGTAACATTCTGTTTCACTTTCTGCATGAAAAACTGTTGAAATGAAGTCAATAAACTTTGTTTTTGCGCATAATGAGCATCTATCATTAATCATTGAAGTCTGTGCATTTGTGCAAGTAAATCAACTTTGTTAGCTTTCCGATAAAATCGAGACAAAGAAAATGAAGAGAAAAGTAGCGAGAAAAACTTAACATTGTTTGGCACATTAGACATCACATAAATGAGAATCATGCTATCGAATACAGTAGCATGAGTAGTTACGGAAAAAAGAGAAGGAAAAATTATAAGTATAATAAAAACAAATCGAAGTAGCAACAAAAGCGGAAAAGTCATGTAATTCATTGTGTTCGCCAGTTTGCCATACGATAACAAATGCGCTATCATTTATCATACACACATCGCATGTTCGTGTCGTCGCTTTGTTGGCATATCAACGATGGTTTTTGTCTTATGCCCGCCGCCATTCATCGGAATCAACTGTTTGTGACTGTCAATATTTGTATCATTCAATGTATTCAATGTCTAATAAAATCTCTATCAGAATTTTCACCCGATTTCATTTTTCTCTATTTGCAGATGTCAATTCATGTGTGGTGAATTAACTGACAAAGAAACGATATCCCGTTTGGATTATACGCTGGAGAATCAACTACAAGATCAATTTGAAGTGCTACTTTATAAAAGCAACAGTAAGTATAAACAAACAAATGCCGCTATGCTTTTTTTTATCACACTCACAATCAATTGTGCAAAAATTGATTGTCACAATTATATATTATCTGAATGACATTTTTCTACTGCTATTATTATGTCATAATCGCGCGATGGCCGTCTTTTTTTCCGCTTGAATTTTGAATAAATAAATGAAAAACAACATGGTATCGATGAAAATGTATGAATTTATGTGCGGTTTTCATGACAACATTTCGCTGTCATTCAATTTGCAATGACATTTTATCGATATTTGCCGTCGTTATTTTGATTGTGGTGTTATTTTTTTGTTTTCTTTTTTCGCTTCAATTGTTGAACATCAGACGTGCTCGCTTTTATCTTCGCTTATTATTATACCATTATTAATAGGCTTTCGAAAGCTTTTTCATCATATTTTCCCACACTCTTGCGTGCACTGTTACAGTGGTACTGTATCAAATATGGCCACTTTATGTGAGAAGAATTATGGGATTTCTCTTCAACGAGAAAAGTATTGTTTTCCCTTTTTTCACATTGAAATGATACATTATTGCTACTTCTGTAACGATGATAAATAAAAGATGGAAAGAATATACCTACATATATCAAAGCATGCTGAAGTTCAATTTCTATCAATGCTTACGTATGATAGCCCCTGTAAACCAATATCGATGCGGATACATGCATTGAAATACACAACAATAGAGATACGAACAAATAAGGTCCATCTTGAATGGAAGAAGTTTGGAAATGAATAACATCGATAGTATGGAGTACGACAAACAGTTATGCCACAAAGAAGCAAAAAATTGACGACAGCATTTGTAGTCGGAACAAATAGATAAACAGTGCTCAAAAACTTGAAATGTATAACCTCAGCATTCCCATTTCGTTTCAGTTGTGATTTCAAATTTTTGATCTTTTGTTCCGTCGTAATGACACTGATTGCTTTTGTGCTACTGTGTTTAAGGGGAAATGAAAAATCACAGTGAAATTGGATAGATGTTTTGTGTTAGAATTTTGATTTTTGACGTTTTTTTTAAATTAAACTTTCAATGCTTTTTTGTATTTTTTTCATATCTGTCTAGCAACTGGCTACTTTTAGAAATATAGTATTGTTATGTCTTTTGGCGTAAATATTTGAGTATTTAAACTTTAAAATCTGCCCTGTAGGAACTTATGAGGTTTATTAGTACTTAAAAAGAACGCATTACAGATAACTTACTAAACTAGTTAAACCATTTTAAAAAGAAATCTCAATAATCCATGACAATATTGTGTAATTTATGTTTTGTGTCAATAATGCGTTTACAACTAAGTCAAAGTGATATCAATCAAATGTCAGTTAAAATATTTGGTATAAAGATGTGAATAACCTACAAAACACAACGATAGTTTTAAACTATGTTTGAAGTTGTCGATAAATTGCGGCAAAATGTGAATACTTGTTGTCAAAATATTTTGAGATGTGTTTTTGTTGTACAAAGCCACACATATTTTGTTTCACACATATATGCGTTTCAAGAATGAAAAGTTCCAATTCCAACAATCCAATTTCACTTCTGATGATTAAAAAGTTTCAAGAGCCAATGTTCGAGCCAATTTGTTTTAAATTTATTTATGCGAGAAAAACATGTTTGAATTTAATATAAAATTGTTCACTATATGTTGAAACAATTCATGCGAATATCAAAGATGATGTTTAATCAAGTGTAATCCTCTAGTATGTCCTGTTCGTTTACGCACCATTTGAAATGCCATGCTAAAAGGGAAGTCATGTACATTGTACATTGACGCTTTAATCCATATTTGATCTCTAAACATGATGCAAAATTCATTCGATAAGATCAAATGTTTCATAAATCTACTTGGGGGAGATAAAGAGAACTATGTGAAGTTTGTAGTCAATTTCTCTGTGATCTTTCTATCTAAAATTGACTGTGAAAATCAAATCGTTCAAATGTTTTTCATCATATATTGTCGACCATATTTATACAGTTTCCTCATTGTTCCTTCACTCACAGTAGATTGAACCGGATTCGTATGAATAAAATTCTAGTTGTGCCAACGGAACAGTAAAAATAACTCATCACTAACATAATTTTGATTGATTGCTCTAAATAATTCCTTATGGCACTGTGTAACATTATTACAAAAGAAAATGAACGAGAAAAAAAATTGCCAACCGAAGAAAGATTGTCACTGAGACCTTTACTTGTAATACATTTTTTCCGTCTCTGGCTTGAATCTTTTGTTAAGTTCGTTTTGTCTTGTGTCGTCTTTTATGTGCCATAAAATACGAACCGAGTGAGAAAGAGAAAAAAAGTGTCGTATAAATTTCTTTGCTTGTGCCCAACTATTTGTACATGTTTCGGTTATAGAGGTTATACCATTGCAGATTAAATTGTGTAAGGCGAAACAGATTTTCAATGTTATATTTGCGAAATTCCATTAAAAATGCAACACATTTTATCGTTGAATATAAAATTGCGAATGAGATAGAGTGGGTAAAAGTAAATGGAGAAAAAGACAAATAGAAGAAGAAGAAGTACAAGAAGAAGAAGAAGAAGGAGTAGAAAAAGTATACGAGGAGTTGAGGAAGATGGAAAATTACGTGAAAGAAAACCTTTGACCGAGTTCATTCAAAAGGACAAGTGAAAAGTTTGCTTTTGAGTTTTTGAACGTCTTTCACACCCACTCTCTCTCTCTTCCTATCTCTATTTCTGTCCAATGATAGACGGGTGCGAGAGAACAGATGATACAACAGATTGTGATTGGATTGTCTAAATGATAAAAACTGACAAGCATTCATCCAAGATGATTGCGTTTTTAATTCAAATTTATTCCATAAATAAGACGAATGGTCCGAAGGACGTGATCTGAAAAATAAGTATCATCTATTTTGATGGTATACAACAAAAGTGGCCTCACACGATTCGCAACAAAGCTACATCGGATTAAAATGTGAAATAGATTTTGGCGAGAGAATGCAAGACCGATGCGATATGCAAAAGTTCATTTCAATTAATTTAAAGCTGAAGCACACTCGTATGCTTTAATTAAATTATTCGATTTAGATGCAAAAATTGTTGGAGAAACAGAAATTCTTAGTTAATCCGTTAACAATCGCCTGTTTGGAATGTAATACAATCACAAATCATAACATAAAGCAAAAACATAAATTAATATAGTCAAATCGATATATGCCAACATCCGAATAGCCTGGGAATTCCAGAAATGTGCATTCAAACTGAAACACTTAATTCGACAATGGAATGACTCTTGTTGATGCTTTTTCGTATGTCCAATGCAGAGTAGTTTTGGTTCCGGTACAGCATGCATCTCATTAGAAGAACAACTCTCCAGTGGAAGTGGTGAAAATGACAAAGAGATCCGTTTAAATGTCTAATTATATTATCGTTAGCTCGTTTTAGTGAGTCGTTAAGCACATTGTGTTGGCACATTTAAACGAGACACTACAGTTAAATTGTGTTCATCATCGTACACACAAACGACGGCTCAATTGACAATGCCGTCAACTCGATGTACTTTCATTTGTGAAACACTCATTTGGACGACCTGATGACGATGACATCAGCACGGAATCGGTGTGCTTCCGTTTTGATCCCACATTGAAGTCGTTTTACGCTTATTTTCGTGTTGTAAAATTGAAGTCAATTGTCCTCAGCGTTCATGTAAGCACATGTGAACACATGTATTTTCGTTGAACGTGCGTCCTCATCAATGTGCATTACATACACATAAAAAGCCAAACACACACACACACACACATCGACCCAACACTTTTGAGTGGCTCCTTCTCATAATTGACACTCAAACAATGACTATGAAGTGAAGCGTACGATGCTTAGCGTGTCTATTATTATCATTATATGGATTATATTCACACACCGAAATGCAAAGAAAACTTTTTGCATAAACTTGGTAATTTTTCCTTGTAAAAGTTTGTGGCCAAACTCGATCAAAACTAGGCTAATCGAGTGATTTATATCAGTGACCGGTTCGCGCATATTTCTATGCCTGATAGCTATGCTAAGCATAGCGGAGACGCAAGCCGCAACGCACCCGTCGCCATTCGATTCGAGCTATATTGTATACGCACGGTCGTCTGCATAAACGAACATGTGCATTGTTCATATAGAGTGAACGGCGATGCGTCGGTTGCGTTTGCGGCTATGCTTGGCATATCTATGCTACCTAGCGTATTTAGGCAAACATAGAAATATGCGCGAACCGGTCACTGATTTATACACAAAATTATTATTGAGCAATTTCATGTATAAGCTTACCATTTTAATATTGCAAACAAACAACATGAATCCACAGTTTCACATGAATATTTATATTTAAATGTCATATATCTGAAAATTTACAAAAAAAACTCATTAAAGTCCACATGAAAGACCAATGGTCGATTCGGTTGCCGTGTTTAACAAAAAAATTGGTCATAATTTTTCATTGCATTCCGTGACTACGGTTTATTACCCTCATTTCGAAAATTAATTGTATAAAACTCATAAAGCATGCGACTTTTGCAATCGACCAAATATATCGAACTCATGCACATACATCGTATAATGGAAATGAATTGAAATCTCCTTGGAATTATAAATATATCGACACGCAGAGTGAATTCAATCGAAAACTTGATCGGATTTTACAAGCAATCAGATGAAAAAAAAAAACAGAAGAGAAAATTAAAGCTTTTTCTCATTGTCTCTCTCTCTCCCATTCGTGTGTAATGGTAAAATGGAGTTTTTCCAAACGCTCTGTCATTGTCAAAGAGATTTATTATCATATCATATATCTTTAATATTGAAACGATTGCCAATTCGAATGACCCAGAGTAATCAATCGGTAGGGCTAGAGATACGCGCATAACAAACATGCAATCGATAAATGATAATGATACGAATGAAATGTGTGTAATTACAATGTGTAAAAACCATACATTTATGTAATTGTGTGATGAAACCAT